CAGGCTGCTGGGAGGAGTGAACATTGCTCAGAGAGGAGTTCTGCATGGTATTCAGGCAGTCCTGCTGCGCAGGAAGCCCGAGAGGCCCGCCGGATCTGACAGCAAGCTGGATTCAGGTGGACGGATCGGTATATGTGGCCAGATTCTTCAGGTTCACTGCAAAAGATCCTTCCTGCCCACAGCTATCAGTATCTATAACAACTCTTGAATAAAACCAGGATGATGAGCTATGACAACTCTTAATTTCCATTTGGGATTAATAAAGTACTTTTGAATTGAATTGAATAAAAAAAAAGCATAAAGGAGAATTGCCATTCAGTTGAACTTGTGTCAAAAGTTGTTTTCATAAAAATATTGTTAAAATATCAGTTTGTTCAGTGAGCCTTTAGTATCTCCTCTCGTTACAGCCCTGGTTAATGCACGATTAGCAACACAGAGAGAAGATGAGACACTTTGAGCAGAATGACTGCTCACTTTCCTGCTAATCTTTTTTTTTTTTTTTGCTTAGACTCCAACAGATGGAGGGCACAGACTGACACAGAGCCAGAGACACAGACTGGGGGAGAGCAAGGATGGGCTCGGTTGGGGGAAACGGGTGGAGAGGAACGCTGGTCCCCAACGAGGCGAGCTAACTGGGAGGAAATTAGGTCAGTGTGTTCCTTGTAACTTCACAGTGAAGAACAGCGTGTGCGTGTTGTGCTTGTGCACCCAGAGTCATACTGCACCACTACAGCAACAGATCCTGCAGGTCTGTTTGTGTGCGTGTGTGTTTTTGTGCACAACGCTTCACATTTATTAGCATGGGCGTGATTGTGTTTCCAAACGATATTAAAAATTGCATCTAAACCAATAACTTTTGAGGCCTTAATGTTTGATAAACCCAGAACCACTTCTGGTTCACCACTAATCCAACTGAGACAGAAAACAAGGATGTAACTAATCATAGCATCACAATCAGTGACATTATCATTCAGCGTGTGAAACAATTGAATAAAGGTTAGGTTAAATGTATCCCCATTTGGCCTTTCAGTCTTATAATACGCACTTTTGGGACTAATGGAGTCTGCTGTCTATTGTCCTCTGGAGGGTGAAGATGTTCCTCTTTTTGCACCTTCCACTGAGCTTTGTCTTCACTCGTTGTCTTTTCCTGTCTCCAGATCAGGACACGTCACACATACTATAATTGATATGAGATTTAGGGGGTATATTTTAATGTAATTAGAATCTTGATAATTGGACTAATTAGATCTAATTGCTATGTGAGAATGACTTTGATTAAAACAGGTTTCTCTCTTCAAATGAGAGAAGAAAAAAATAGTTGGGTGACATTGGTGAGATGCAATACAAAGCTAGTTGACAATAACCGCTGATGCATAAGGTTAGGCACGGAACAGGGGCAGGTTTTCATGTATTTATTTTCTGCAGATGACATTTATGATTCAGTTAAAAGTCACACTAGCAAACTTCTGTTTAGATTGACTCACAACAACTGGACTGAATGAAGGGATTTAATGTTGCACACATTGAAAAAAGAAAGGCTTGCAAAAGTTCCCCAAGCTGATCTCAGCACGTCTTAAAAAAATGGTGGATTATACCAAACACATATTCGTATCCCTTTTTGTTTGTCCAAAACTGACTCCGAGCTGTCGATACATGCAAGAAAAGTGCACAAAGCAATAGTGTATGGGTTTTATGGTTCCTTGTGTGAAGCTTCCTCTACCTCTTTTTTAGGCTGGTTGTTGCACTTTGGATGCAGCAAACGTGGAACTAATTTCAAAAAGTCAACTGTATAAAACAACAGCAAATGATGACCTGAAAACATTATGTTTTTGCTATGGATAAAGCAATGTTCAGAGTAAAAAAACGAATCAATTTTTACATGAAACACCTTTAAACGTTACTGGGTTCATGTATATCAAAGGCACCTATAGGAACTGTACGTATTGGAGTACTTTGAAAATTATTAACACGCTTAACCCCGGTAAATTTATCCTGCGAGCAGAATGAAATGCTTCTTATTGTGACTTTAATCTGAATGCATTGTGTTTCAGTATCTGTGTCATTCTTATCTGAAATGAATCTTCCTGTTTCTGAGTGTTTGCTTAATTATGCATCAGCCTCTGATTTGCACATTTGTGTCAGGGTGCCCCATAAAAATCCCAACGAGCTAAGCCTCTTGTGGCTCAATAGATGGCAGTAATATCCCTCAATCAGTGCAGTATGAATCCCCTTCGCACCTAAAACACATGAATATGCAGACATGTGCGCGCACACTTGGTGAATAAGCGCTAGGCACAAAAACATAAACAAGGATGCACGTATAGTCAGGAAGAGAAAGCTCTGAAAGGGCCAGAAGACATGGGATAAAATCGCAATGGCAAATAAAATTAAAAGATAAATCCATAAGAAATCCCTTTTTTCTTGATCTCTGCAAGTTTTCAGGTGATATAGAAAAGCCCTGAGCAAATCAAACACCACAGAGGGAGAGATGGGTGAGCGTATGAGTTGGAGACTGCCGCCTCTCTGCCTTTGTTGTCAAATTCAACACTGGCACTGTATCTTTCTAATAGTCTGATGAGGAGAGGGCAGAAGAGGCGCCTTCAGCTCCAAGATACTGTAATGTGTGAGCTTGTAAAGATGAAATCAATAGCAGCAGCACCTTCACAGGGCATCGGGGAAAAGCCGAAGTTCCAGCTCAATACAATTCGTACCTATAACTGACAGAAACGTCTCATTCTGCCCAAGCGGCTACCGCTCAGAGGTAAAAAGCTGCGCTATGAATAATTGTGGAAACCATTTAATTGTGTCTCTTTGTGAGCAGTCTGTGTTGTGGTTGTTGTTTTTGTGTGTGTGTCCACCCCCTTAAGATAGTCCCTGTGTCGTCATATTTGTTGGCAGGATGCTTTGGCAATCATTTGAATTCCCCAAGTATGTTCAGAAGATGTCAGGGAGTAGTCTCTGATCTTGTTTAATATGTGACCAGCAGCTACAAATTACAAACTCCCAGAAATGAGGAAACACGGGTCCTTCTTAATCTCCAGGGAGAATTCGCTTTATGTTTCGGTTGCACATACGCAAAGTCTCTGATTGTCTCACCCTCGAGTGTAGCCGTGCATCTGGGAATCTCCTCCCCTTAATTTAGCTTGCGTTCAAACAAAAACAAATAATTGCGACTTTTTTTAGTTGAAACAAGCAGTTAATTTTTTTTATTCAGGCTGTTTTGACGCTCCATACTGGATGGCACCTTGTTGCTTTGGACAAATTAAGCGTTGGGGTTTGAAATTCTCTCCATCTTGCACTGGTTGGGTTTTCATAATTCTGTTATTTTCTATTAAAATTAAATGCTAAAGGAGGAGGGAAACCCATGTTTTTCAAATATACTTTTCTAGTGCATAGGAGAGGAGAAAGAGCAAAGCGGTGCAATGAATAAAGCAACATCCTGGTTGTCGTTGTTGCAAATCATGCAACAGTAAGCTAAAAACATTTTAACTATCTGAAAATTCAGTCCATATTTAATCAGTTTTAGGCCTTGTTTACACAACAACGATTCAATGAAAACAGATTTTTTCCCCCCCATTTCTATTAACATGTTTTCATGAACACATTGTCTCTGTTTACACAGTAATGGTAGACGTGGAAAAGGCATAATTCCCTCGCCTCGCCACTAGTTGGCGCTATGTTCTTTGAAAACTTGAAACTCTAAATGCGCATGCGTAACAAAAACCATTCTACCTGAATGTCCCTACAACAGTCGAGATGGCAGAGAATAAAATATTTCTATAGACAGACGACGAGATTCAATTGTTGCTAACAGCCCTAGTTAGATTTATGAGTCAGAAGCACAAACAATACTTTGGTATCCGCCATTGTCAATAGTTTCTTCTTCTGTGGATTGTATGTTTTGCATCATACTGCACATGAGCCAGGGATTCCCTGACAGAAAATATCTATTTTGTCTGTTTACATGAAAATGGACACAGGGACATTTTTGAACCATTGCACTCTGGAACCCGTTCTCAAATTGTGCCTTCGTCAGAGAAAACATTTGCGATTTTCGAGTAAATTAACAGTACAAACGCAACGAAACTCTTCCATTTTCACCAGAAATCATTTCTGTGCAAACGGGGCCTTGGAATGGGTTCCAGAGTGCAATGGTTAAAAAACATCCCAGTGTCCAATGTCGTGTAAACAGAAAAAATATATATATTCTCTGTCAGGGAATCCCTTGGCTCATGCGCAGTATGACGCAAAACACAACGGCTTCCTACAATCCACAGAAGAAACTATCGACAATGGTGGATACCATATTGTTTGTGCTTCTAACTCATAAATCTAACTACGGCTATTGGTAACAGTTGAACCTCATCGTCTGACCATAGAAATATTTTATTCTCTGCCATCTTGACCGTTGTAGTGGCTTTTAGGTAAAACAGTATTTGTTACACATGCGCACTTAGAGTTTCAAGTTTCAAAGAACATAGCACCAACTAGTGGCGTGGCGAGGGAATTACAACTTTCCACGTCTACCAATTGCTGTGTAAACAGAGATTGTAATTAGAGTGTTTTCGTGTAAATGTGTTAATAGAAATGGGAAAAAATGTCGGTTTTCATTGGATGTTGTCGTGTAAGCACGGCCTAAAATTGTGCCAGAGAAGACATTTGCGACTTTCGTGTAAATGAACGGTACAAACGCAACGAAACTCTTCCATTTTCACCAGAAATCATTTTCCTGTAAACAGGGCGTTAGAAAAGTTGAGATCCAATTTGTCACAATTCACTTTATTTTCAGGATAGATTGAGGTTGAGTAGCTCTGAATTTGTTTCTCATCATTATTATATTCTAACAATAAACTATTTTAATGGGATTTAGGTAGGCTTTAGTTTAAAATCGTCCACCTAGTTCACAAATCGTTTAGGGCACATTTTGTTGTAATTATCTGTCTGGTTGCTTCCATTTTTAATAGTTTTTGTTCCATATGAAACACAAGCATTGTAGATACACTTACTGTAAAAAGAATGTGTAGCCCTCCATCTCCTCGGTGGAGAGGTTTTCCACTGAAGCTTGCATCTGCTCGTGTGCCTGCAGAGGCGGTGCACTTCTGCCGCTCACGCTGGGGCCGCAGCTATTTGTCTTCTTGATTGGCTTCTTCTGTGAGGAACAGAAATCAGGGAGAACACATACGGATGTCATTTGTAATCAAAGCAGGAAACGGGGGCCTTTGAATTTATCTTGGGGGATGCACGCGGCGACACCAACAGTGTGTGTGGCATTTTCGGGGACTTCACCTATATCTCACCAGCGCCTCAATTGACACGAGACACGAATGACGGCGAAATCGCATACGGCACGCCATCCTTCAAATTGAGTTCATTTGGGGAAACATGCATACAGTGACGGTGGCGTTAAGTATGTGATATCAGAGCAGCTGGCACAGTTTTTCTCCCCCTTCCACACAAGTCGTTTACTATCACCGTCATAAACACAAACTGAGTTAGGAAGTGGGATTTAATTTTTTTCACCAAGGTACTCACGAGCAGATAGTATTTGTTAAGCCGCCAACATGTTAACGGCTTGCTTTCCCTGGCCCTGTTCGCCCCGTCTGTGTTGCCCTTGGGTGGGCTTAGTGGCTTTCTGCTTGAAGTTGTGACATACACACTGATGTATGTTAATGAGATCCACAGTTGGAATAAGCCACCTCTCTTTTTCTCCTTCTACCTTTCCCAGTTCCAGTTTGTTCTTCCTCATCCTTTCCTACACTCCATCTCTCACTCTGCTTCTTCTTCTGAAATAAACTGGACCCAGGAAGTTGTAAAAGGCCAGAGTCCCATAAAAGCTCTATCCGTTTTCATAGGGCAATCTATGCCAAAGCAAGCTTGGATTCCAGAGTGATGATCACAATAAAAAGGTAGAAAGAAGCAAGAGGGAAAGCAGAGCGAAAAGAAACGCAGGAGATATATAAACCACAATGTTCTCTGGTGTCTTCACACAATAAATTTAATGCAATACCTTAAGAGGAGGGTTCAGTATATAGCTGGATTCCTGCCCCATGGGCAAAGTGGTTGCCTGGAGAAAATTCATTTTAATTAGGCCTACACTGCAGGTTGAAGGGCTGAAATCTGATCCCTTGTGCTCCCAGGCTGGGGCAGGTTGGAGATCACTCCACTTAATCATTAGACAACTGGGTTCAACACCACAACGTTTGACAGGTTTTAAAAAACGGGACAGAAAGGGGAAGAGAAAACATGGTCTGTGGAGGTTTGGGAGAAATAAAACATATCAACACACTCGTTTCTTTAGCTGGTCGCTGATTAATGGCGCTCCGAAGAGCTTCTGATGCATCAACAAAAGGAGGTTAGCAGGAAGGAAAACTTGTTGGGATGGAGAAGAGAGAGACAAAAGCAGGTTTGATGTTCACCAGCGTCTAACTACCTAAACAACAACATCAAAACAACAAAATGCCGCCGCAGAGGCACCGCGGCCGGGATGGACCAGCAATGCCAGATCAGCACAGAGTAATTTTACAATTACCACTTCAAAGTATGGCAGGTAACATGAAAGCTTTGATTAATTTAGCTTAAGTCTTCTGTAGCACAGGAAAAGGCGAATATTTAGATGATTTGGAGAAGAAGAAAAAAAGACTGGCGTTGCTGATTTCACAGAATCTGAGCTGCTTTGGCTTGTCAAGCAGATCAAAACTGGCTTTGAAGGCTGAGAACTACCTGTTAGTGTGAAATGTATTTTGACAAATCTCAGATAATAAGCCGGGGAGGCGTGTGTCTGTAGGGTCTGGAAAAAAGTGGGGTGGAAAAGAAACAGGAAAGCAGAGAATACTCATGTTTAGGGTTTGAAACTAGTCCCGGTAAATCTCAGCGTTACCTTGAAGTGAATGGCTTCCTCTGCTTTCTCCACACATGAGTCACTCTTTTTCCCAGTGTTTCCACAACTGGCTTCTGGGGAGTAATGCTTTCCTGCATCTCAGAAAAGAAAATGAATGTGCAGTTAGCATGCAAAACCAAAAAAAAGATGTTTATTTTTTGCATCGTAATCCATACAACACCGCTTAAAACATGTTAAAAGTGCAGAAATAGCCGGTTTGAGAAATTAAAATAGAGCTGCATGATTTAAAACATTCTGAAGCAAATACAAAATACTTTAAAAAAAAAAGTTATGCAAAATATACTTAAAATTTGGGATTTTTTTTATTCAACAAATCAAATAATTGTTGCACAATCTGCTCATTCATCGATTGGAATTTAGACCAACTTTATCTTTTATAGTCTTGTTTTCTTTCTTCTTCTTTGTTCACACAAAAGTATTAAGACATCTTGTTCTGCTTTCATGAAAGATGCAAATGCACCAAAGTTTTGATTTGTTTTCTGTGCAGAGGAGCCATTATTAACTGTCACTACTCGATAATTTCTGTCTCCACCAGAGCTGAACCATACATTAGAGCCTTTTGACACTCTAATGTATGCAATTGAAAACTATGAAATATCAAAACAGGAATGAAGTTGGGTGGCAATACATTTCCCCTTTCTTCCATTTATTGTAAAATTACATTTGAAGTGTTTTCCATCCTCCATTTTCCCTCCTTTTCCCCCCTATCTGTCTCACTTCTTTTGCTGTAATTTAAATGGTAAGCTGCCAGATGTGTGGCTCATGCTTGAAGTGTTGAGGATCTGCATTATTTAGCATATTAACATTCACAGAATTTAAAAAAAAGGGTCTCCTGCTTTGCCTGGAGGTTGTAATTAAGTAAACCTTAGCTTGGGATGTGTAAAAATCTCACTATGTGAAACTTTCCCCCCGATGGAACCAATCACATCTATATAATACATACGGAAAACTCAGGAAAGATATACATTTTTTTCTTGCCACGGGATTAAATATATCAGTAGTAATAAGTTAAATATAGGCCGCATATAAAACATCTTTCTGACAGCTAAAGTGCAGTACATGTAAATGGGGTGAAGAGTCTGCTCATCCCTGTTTTAAAGTGACTCTAAAATCAGATTTTTACAAGAATGGGTTTTTATTTACCATCACTCTGCTGGTAAACATTTAGAGCTTTCACGGGTGAAGGGTAATAAAGTTATATTTGCTCTATTCTTGGGATAAAAATATTTATTCTAGCGTTTTCTTGGCGTTACATAAGTGCAATCTCAACTGAGTGTCAGCATCGAAATCAGTCAAATGTATGAGTAGAAATTATAAACATTCTTTAGTTTAATATGGACATTTTTGCACTTTTAAAAGGTTTAAAGTATTAAAGTGACATGCAGAAGCAATGCCTTGAACATATTTTGAGAATTATTTGTTTAACTTTAAGCAAATAGTCAATTAAAGCCAACCGCGTGCATGTCCTTGTGCAGATAACCTGAGACGGAACAGCGCAACACAAGACAGTATTTTCCACACGTATACACACACTGCTACGTACAGTACGCACAAACCTTTCAGCCTCTATTAGCAAAAACAACTGTCCAAACCCATGGACTTGGATTCCCCCATGGATTTGCGTACTTTCATACCACCAAACGCACACACTCGTTACAGCAGGCCCCACTTGCTGGTGGTCAGATGCTGTGGAACCAAAATCAGTGCGGAGGCAGCATCGACAGCTCTGACAGCTAAGGGCTACGTCCGTGAACTCAGAGCACTGGAGCCGCCACAACTCCAGCCTCTCCGGGCACCCAAGGCCAACAATGAACTCCTTGTTATCCCCCATGTGCTCTGAGCTATGTTAAGACCAGCGCACATGCTCATCCAGCGCCGCGTCAATGCACCCACACACCGAAAGGCAGAGATATCAATGCAGAAACTTGCATATATGCACAAATATTTTCAAGGGTAGGAATATAAGAGTGTTGCTTACAAACAAAGTCAGGTTGAGTAAAGAAATTAAAGCCTTCGGGCTGTCCCTCTGTAGTGCTTGTATCACCATGTTAGTGATGGAACTGGAGCGAGATGCCAGTTCTTGCACACCTAGCCCCCTAATTGCCCAATGACTGGTTGAAATTTGCAGAAGTATTGAAGGTTAGCAACTCACAGATTGCCCCTGAGTCCATAACAGGATGCGGTGTTAAGGTTGCTACGATACTGCAACGATCCGGCGTTGCTTCACTCAAGAAAGTGCTTTTCTTTTAATCCACTGCATTTTAATGGCAGCAGCAGACCGAATTATAATATGTCCTTGTTTGTAACTATTTTAACATTCTTGCTTTTACATTTGTCCTTCGATTGGATCATTCGTTTTGCATCGTTGGTGCAAACCTATGGATTTTCTTTACATATCTTTGAGTTATATCACGCCTAGCAATAGGTAAATAACATAGTTTTATTTATTATTTTGCTTCAAAAGTTACTAAATATTTAATATCAAAGATCCTTTCTAATTCCTTTCTTTTCCTTTGTGTCTGTCCAAGAAATAAATCAAAAAGCACGATAAGGTTTGACGCAACATTGTGGTTGGAACATCAGATAACTGGGTGCGTCCTGGAGGGGAGAGATTCCTGAAAGTGCAGGGCAGCGCTCCAACCAAGACATTTTCTTCTGAGCTCAAGGGTAAAAGTACTAAAATAAAATTGTTAAAAGAAAAAACTATTAAAAAAAACAATGAAATAGTGATACAGTTTCATATGCGTGCTCATAGTCATCCACTACGGGCGATCAAGAAACAAGACGCTGATCTAATTAGTCATTTGGGTTCAAACAAACCCAGTGTAACTGGATCATTCAGCTAATGTGAAAGGTCACTAAACCCAAAGCGCCTCGAGCTAATCAGAAGCCAAATACACTTCATTATGCTTAGACAAGTCATCTGAGGTAAATCAGATTATTATCATAATTCATCTCAATCACAGATTTATACATTTACACAAAACAGCTTTCACGGCCGTCCTTTAAATCTACGATTACAACTTGTCAGAGGTATTATCTTTGATTGTTCTGTAAAACTTTTTTTTTTTTTTTTAAATGAGGATTAATTATTTTAAGCCCTCAGGAACGCGGACTTCCTGTCTCGCTGTCAAACTCTGCTTCGTGTTTTGTATCGGTGACAGGCGGTCCCCGTACACTGACTTGGAGACCAATGAGTACAATCTAGAGAGAAAGTGTCCTCCGCATGGCTCCAAACATGGAGGCAAGAAAGAGGAAGGAAACGTCTGAGGACTCCACAGTTTGACTAAGAACTGAGAAAGGGAGGATAATTCATCCTTCTTTTCCATCCTGAATTGGATTTCCATTTTTGGCTAAGTTAAAGTTGTCCGTCCAATCGCGCCCTTCAGCCTTGACGTATCCCTCTCCATCTGACCGCCATAATTCACTCCAGAGGTAATGCAACACGAACTGATCTGTATGCAAACGAGGCCTAGACGTCAGGTCGGCTTAAAGAATGGTGCAGATGAGGTGTTGTTCTGGACACCTTTTGATCCGTTATTTTCACTCGCGGATCAGGTTCACTTCCTAAGCAACCTCCTCACCTGGCTGTTCGTTTCCCTTCATGCTTGTGCATGTGCGAGAGCTTGTGAAGTAGAGCACAAGTCCCCCCGATAGAAAGTCTGTTTTCTCCCTCTCCTGCGTCTTTGGAAAGGCAGTCGGTTCGATGGGGACACTTCCCTTGTGGGCGTTAGAATCTCTGTGGGGGGTCACAGGTCAGCTAGCGGAGGAAGCGACAAGCTGTGAAATGTAAAAGACCAATTTCTTCCACATGTTTCAGTGCTGGGAGAACACTGCCAAGCTGTCAGCCGGCATCACGTTTAAAATGGGCCAGGGTGCTACCCAACAGACCTGTCACAACTCATTTGTAATTAAAAAGCCTGTGTGATGTTTAAAGCAGAGCACCCCAGAAACTTTTCAGAACTGTTAAATAAAGATGAGCTGTGCAAGAACGAAAGAAAGGAAAGGGGGAAATGGAGAGTATTAATAAAGATACTAGCCAGTAATATTTGTCTTACATGAATACCAATATACAAAGTAGATGGTGTCTTTCACCAGGGTTATAAAGTTGGAAAAGTAGCTGAAAACTAAAAAAATAGCTGTAGTTATGCATTGTAGTAACAGCCAAAGTGTTGTGTCAACTATGGATAAAGTGAGCTTGTTTCATATTTTTCATCACGTCATCTTTTGTTTCTTGATCTCCTGTAGTGGATGACTGTGACTATAACACATTTTCTCATTCCCATTGAAATCCATATAAACGAGTATCCGTTACATGTGATAAACTATTGCACGGTTTTCAATAATTCCTGTTATTACATATGTTTTTTTCATAAAATGCACTGCCAACACAAAGATCCAAACCCTCCCTGAAGTGACTGAGGCTTGTTGTTGACCGGTCTGTCCAACCAAGATGTGTCCTTCACCGCTGCCGTCTCCACTGAGACATTCCCCGTGTTTGTTTCCTTTAGTTCATCACAGAGAAGTTCCCAAGTGTGGTTTCTTATCTCTGCAAGCCTGAGCAGCTAAAAACTGTGCAAAGGTTTACCGGTATCGCTCTTCGTCTTCTGGTCTTCCAACACAGTGATTAGACTGAGCACACACAGGATGTGATGTCATTGCAGAGCAGTCTATAGTTTATCGAAGCATCTACTAACACATCACAGGAGTACCACACTTGATTTTATTGCCAATATCTAGGTGCAATGAGTAGCAAGCAAAAAAAAAAAACATAAATTAAAAGCAATTTTTTATTTTACAGAGAAATTAGATTTTTACTTGGAAAAAAAAAACAACACAAACAAATCAGCCGAACAAACGGACGATAATAAAAACATGCTCATTGATTTGTTTGTTTTAATTTAACTTTTATATCAAAGTTCATGCTCAATAATCAAGGTAAAAAATCCAACAAAGTTCAGACAGGTCATCTGGATGGTTTCTTTTTTTTTGTTGAGACGTTTCGTCCTTAATCCGAAGGACTTCATCAGTTCAAGAAGCACCACAAACTCAGTCCCACAAGCAGCACACTCACATAGTGGGCCAACCAGTTTGATGGTGACAAGATGGTTCCTGGGGTCCACCCTCTTCTCTGTCGACTCCTCTGAAGCAGCCATGGCCAAAGTGGTTCAAAACATCAAAGTTCATGCTCAGTAATCCAGGTAAAAAATCCAGTAACGTTAAGTCAGTTCATCTGGACGGTTTCTTTTTTTTTTGTTGAGACGCTTCGTCCTTCTTCCTTACCATATTGTTGGCGATAACCATCAAACTGGTTGGCCCACTATGTGAATGTGCTGCTTGTGGGACTCGTTGGTGGCACCTCAGACTGATGAAATCCTTTGGATGAAGGACGAAACATCTAAAATAAAAAGAAACCGTCCAGATGACCTGACTTAACTTTGTTGAATAACTTTTATAAATTAAAATTTTGGGGGTCTGCTGCTTTTTCATGTTTACTAAGTTGATTTAAACATTTCGTTTAGCTCATGGGCCTTAAACGTGCATTCAGCATCACTGCTACCTGTGACAGTGCAGGTCTTACTAAGCTAACTGTACAGTGAATCTCTTATTTTGGTAGATAATATCAAAAAGGAAGTAATCTTTTGTTAATGTAATGGTTCTTCTGGTAAACTTTGCTCTATCTTTATATTAATTTACCCTCACGCACATTCAGCCTACATTCTTCTCTCCCTACTCTTTTTTTTTTTTTTACATTAGGAAGACATTTCGCCTCCATTTTGGAGGTTTTAACTCCTACCTGGCAGAGATGAAGAAGAGCAGGCGGAATGAGCTGACAGGTGAACAGGTGAACCCTGGTGAGAACGCACCGCAGTGGGTTCGCCTGCGTGCAGGAGCTGAATGGGCCGAGGACAGAGCTGTGGCTGTGACGGGCGCCGGGGCTGGTGTGGCGGCTGGGTTACCTCAGATGGTCCAGAAAAGAGATCAGGCCCTGAAGATGTTCCAGGCGGGAGCCTTTTCACCTGAAACACAACAAACCACCGGGAGGTCTGTTAAAACTATGGATGAGTCCTATAAACATCTGCATGTATTTTATTTTTCCAGCAACTTAAAATAGTGTTTTAGTTTATATTGAAGGACTCTGGACTGCCCTGGAAAACAGCATGAGTGTAACTCCCTTAGAGTCGTGTTGTCAAAATTCAGACAACTATTAGTTATTTTCATTATAAGCTAAAAAAGACTTCATATGCACAGAAACATTCTGCATGCGTTGCTCTGTGCATCAGCAAAGACAAAAACAAAACAAAAAAAAAGCTGAGTTTCAAAGCAACTGCTGACAATTGTGACGATAGTGTAATCCAAACAGCATGTTCCAGTCGGAGGGACAGAGAGGCAAAAGGAAAAAGACAGCAAGCATTGTTCTGGATTTTAATTCAATTAAGATGTTTACTAATCTAATCAATGCATCAGCTCAGAAGCATCTGGAATTATTGGGTAAAGATGTGTTTTTGCTTTTTCTCTCTGGGGACAGTTTTCAGTTTCTCTGTAAATGCTTTTTATCATAGAAAACCCAAATATCTAACCTCATCCTGCCTTTCAAACCTCCACAATGAAAGGAGCGGGAGACACGGAGGGGAAATCACTGCTGTGCATTTATTTAAACGTCTTTATGGATTCCTCTATAACAGAAATACCTGGAATTAATAATGAATCTAAAAGAAAAAAATGATAGCTCTACACAGACACACACAGATGTTAATTACAGAATTAAAAACTGAACATATCACTCGCTTTTATCCAGGAATTTTAGACTAAATACAATTTATGGTATTAAATGATGGAGCTGCAGCTGTTTCGGTTGATGCATTTTTTCATGAAACGTTGCTTAAATATCTCTCAACATATCAAATGTGATTTTTTATTTTTATTTATCGTTAATTTATACAGGGATAAGTGTAAAGCATTAACGCATACAGTACACTAGGGCTGAACAATTAATTGCATTTGCGATGATATCGCAATATGATAAAACGAGATTTTCTAATCGCGAAGGCTGCGATTTGCCTGCTCATGTGATCTGGTTACGTGACTTGCGAGTGAGCGGAGCGCAGCAAAGCAGTGCAGGGAGCGGGAGAAGTCAACATTGCATTTTAACCGGTTGCACAATGGCGTCAGGCTCGACAGAAGCTGATACATCTGAAAGTTTGGCACCAAAGAGCGGCGGCACGTCCGTTGTTTGGAATTATTTTGGCTATAAAAAAAGAAGACGCTGCACAACGACATGTGCAGAACCTGCCTCGCTGCTGTTGCTACCTCTCGAGGTAACACCACAAATTTTTTATCAGCACTTAAAAAAACACCACAAAGAAAGCCATTTATGATAGTTGCATGGATAGAACGCCAGCAAAGTAGCAGCCGACAGGATCACTGACCGAACTGTTTGAAGGTATTTCTCCGTATGAACATAATTCGAAAGGGCACGTGGAAATAACTAGAACAGAGTTCATAGCGAAATACACGATGCCCATTGATATAGTGACCAAGCCTGGGTTTATGGCTTTGATAAACACAATAGATAAGTCGTGGTACAGAATGCCCTCGCACACACATTTTAGCCAAGTTGCTAAACTGGAGCTACAAAAAGAAACGCAGAAACAGAGTTGCAGCGGAGCTGAAAACAGCTGAACCAGATTGATTTATTGATTGCGTTAATTGAAAATACGAGAAGAAAACATTGAAAAATAATTGCGTATTAAATCAAAATCGCAATATTGAGGTAAAAAAAAATCACAATGTGTATATTTCCCACAGTCGTTCAGCCCTACAGTTTATAGCCTGGTAATTTGCAATGTCAGTCTGTAGATGGGCATTCAGCAACATAAAAATAAACAGCTTAAAATGCAGTTTAAGAAGAATAAAACAGTACAGTGTTAAAACAGTTCATCAAACAGAACTAAAAACTGATCAAAACAACATTATTATAATAGAGTTAGTTATAAACTGGTTCTCTTTCAGAAACGGCTTCAGTTGATCTAAATCAGAACTATTCAACTGACGGCCCATGGGCCAAATCAGGCCTAAAGGGGAGTTCAGTTCAGCCCAGCAAAGGGTTCGTTTTTAAATAAAGATAGACTTTAAACCATAAAACAATCATACTTACTGACAATGACTGCTGGATGTCCAGCCCCTGAGCCATTAGCTTTCAGTAACTGTGGCCCCTGAGCCATTTGGTTGAATTGCCCTGATCTAAATCGTTATAGCTGTTTTTGTGCTGTCGTCAATTAGTTAATTGTACTTTTTTGAAGGTTTCAATAAAGTTCAATACATCTTTCATATGATATTTTGCTAACAGATGAACAGTAGTTAATGCTAAAGTTTTATACAGATATCCTGTGTGTGTAGTACTTGGACTTGCAGGTACAACCACACCAACTTTTAGCACATCTGTGAAATTTAAGTTTATTTTAGGTCAGTCAGGTGGGGCAGCCATCTTGAAATTGATTGGCTTCAAACAATAATTTTTAGAGGGACATCCAATTATTATTTCCTGAAAGTTTCATTAAAATCCATCCAGTGGTTCATGAGATATTTTGCTAACTGGCAGACAGGGTGGACTGCAATAGCAAATGCCAATCAAACACAGATCTTGTACAGGCAGCTAGCACTCAGAACATAAGTGGGCGATCAGGTTTAGCTACAATCACCACATATTTTTTTGCTCTAACTTTAAAATTGACAGAGCTGTAGACATTTAATGTTAGCGTAGACTGCTTTGCTTTGGCAGCCATTTTGAATTTGATGGACTCCAAAAGTTAATCAGCTATAGATGTCAACGCAGTGATTACTTGTTAAACAACTCATAGAAATGTGTCCAGTTGTTCATGGCATTTCTTGCTAAAATTAGAAACACACACACAAACAAAAACATTATTGCCCTTTCACTTTTGTGCAATAAGCAAGCACGCACCTGAAAGTACAGGTTGCACAGCCAGTGGTCCAGATCGGAGGAGATGAGGGCTTCAATCTTTTTAAACTGGTCCAGTTGTGAGCTGGGCTCCCCCCTGAGCAGTGGAGTCCTGAACCTGGGTCAGTGAGACAGACTGGTTGTGATCACTGTGCATCCAGACACTTGATGGTTGAACTACAAGTTAATGTAAATAAAACTTTTTTCCCCCCTCTCAGTTTGTTGGAAACATTTGTTGTGATGTACTGTCACAAGTTAAGATAATGTACATACTTTAGCTTGGTCTTTCGTCTGTTTTTCCCATTCCAATAAAAAAACAACATTGTATAGAAGGTATTTAACGAACTAACCTGCCCTGCACCGGGCTGAGGCTCGGCCCGCACAGAGGAAATACTCCCCAGGCTAAAACAGAGTTAATGTGGCCGCTGTGCCGGCTGATGAGCTGGAATACTAAGACCATAGAGGGGGTGATGTCGCAGGCAGCAGGTAAACTCTGCAGACATAAAGACACACAAAGTATCCCACAGTTCAGGCGAACAGCGGCGCCTAACATACTGGTAGTTTTTTACTTTATTTCAAACTACTCGAAAGAGTTTCCTTTTGCATGTGTCTGTCTGTTAGTAAAATAATCAAATGAAACACTGAATGGATTTTTGATGAAACTGTGTATGACATAATTTACAAGGTCTGAGCAAAATTTAAAAAAAAAATGGTGGGCAACATGTATTCCTTAAAACAATGGTTCCTAACGCAGGTCCTTGAGGAACACCATCCTGCCTGTTTTAGTTGTTTTCTTGCTCCAACACACCTGATTCAGTGATTTAATTTAATTACTTCCTCGTGTTCTGCTAATCATCCATTCATTTAAATCAGATGTGTCAAAGCTGGGAAACAACTTAAACTTGCAGGATGGTGTTCCTCAAGGACAAGTGTTCGGAACCATTGACTTAAAGGAATGCTATGTCATTTTATTGTTTGTTTGTTTTACCTTTCTGCAAATTGCTAAACAGGCTGTGTAACAGCTAAGCACTGAAGGGAAGCTTCAGACTGCTGTTGTTGAATGAAATGACAGATACTGAATTTCACTCTTATCAAGGCCACCATAAATCAAACTGATAATATTAAGGGCGTTTTGCGTGAAGCAAAAATGTTGCAGGTGGTTAGCAGTCAGCGGTGAACACATGCATCCTTCTTTACCCGGAGAACAGTGTGTTTGCTTAAAAAATGAACTGACAGTGAGGTATGCGCCAGTTCATCCATCACTGGGTGGAAATATTTGATCCCTTTATTAGGTGTAATGGAAAATGCAGAGGACTTGTTCTAATGCATAAATTATGTGTGTCCCATTCACAGCCCCTCTGCAGATCCTGCATGCACCTGAGAAACGAGGGTTATCCGTTTGTGACTCAACATAAATATAAAGAATAACATCACAGATTGTAGATATTGAAGATATTTGTATAATTCATTTACTGGTGCTACTATGACCTGCATAAACAGGGATTTCTGCGTGTGCCTTCAGTGCAGATGTGTGTTTGAGTTGGACGGCTCGTGTTTCTGTCAGGTTTGTGTGAGAGGATGATGTGCTTTTTCTCACTTCCTCTGTTTACTAAGGATATTCCTTAAACCAGCTGTGGTAATAACTGAGAACATATTCCAAGGAAAAAAGCTAGAACAACCCTGGCATGAACTAGCAGGTCACGTCTTTTCTTAAAAAGTTTGTTACATTTTCAGCAGATGAAAACAAGGACTAATCTAAAAGCCTGGCATTCATTGAATACATATCGCCCGCCACCTTTTATTATGTAGCACTATAATGATTTTATGTTGAGAAACGGTTGTTATCTGCAGTAGCATCTACATCACAAGATGTCAGCCTAGAGTACATGTAGTGAATCACTCTCAGCTACTACCACACCAAGTTTTAGAGCATTATTTGTAAAAATTAACTGTAATATCAACATTTTTGTCCATCTTGAAGTGCTTTGGCTTTAAAAGTTACAGTAGAAGTATGTACATTTTTTCCTCTGTAAGTTTCATTCAATTCTGTCTACTTTTTCCATGAAAATCAAAAATCAAAATGAACTGTTGACACAATAAAAATATATATATTTTTTTTAACTTACGGTATATGCAATTTTTTAAAATAAATAAATGAACAAACACAAAAAAAACAAAACTTTGTATCATAAGGATTTTTACTAATAGGTATATTGTTGCAAGCACAAATAGCAGCAGCTAGCTGTAGCATTTCCTGTGTAACCTGAGATTAATATTTCTACTAGAATAACTGTAATATGTGACAACAATATAAAGATTTAATAATCAGAGTTATTACTAACGAGAGAACACAAACCTCTAAGCAACTTTTAAAGTTTTCAATTGTTGTTGCTATCTACACCAGGTAGGATATTAACTGTTCAGAACTTTACTTTAAAATATCTAGCTTTTGCTTTAATTAAACCATAAACATCTCATTCAGACATGCAGTCTGAACTCTTCTAAGGGGTTCCCACCAAGCTGCACATGCAAAACTCTACTGTTTCTGTTTTAATCCGTCCCAGACAGACAAAGCAAATGGCGACTGAAAAAAAAGTGGCGGAGAGATAGAGAGGAAGGAAAGGAAAAATAAGCTCCTGGCCTCCTCCTACCATCACTAATTCCTCATTTCCTCTGAGAAGGAACTGCAAGTATTTCTAAAACTGCACGCTACAGTGTGGGCAAGAGGAGAGAGAGGGGAAAATAAATCAGCTAAACAAGTAGTCCCAAACAAATCTGATCAGCCTTTCCACTGCTGTCAATGAGACTAACGACAGCTGGTTTGTCTATAAAGCGCAGCTCAGAGTTTAGGGAGGAGAGGAGGGAATGAAGAGTGACACGAGGCATTTACTATGCCTTACATAAACCTTTTTCAGAATCAGATCCCAGGTCTGCATTCAGTTCATGCCAGCTTTTACCCCCATCCTTTTTTTGTTCGATAGAAGCTGGAGACAATATTATGAGAAAGCTTGAGCTCAGTGAATACACCCACCAGCGTGCCGGCAGTGTCCACATGTGCAGAAAATGCTGCAGAAAGGCCTTAAAGAGTTGCCATCCTTACACTGAGCCTATATGGGATCAGGAAGGACACTGAATTTAGAGGCTTGTTTTTAAGGTTTGAATCTTTTGTCCTGCACACATCAATTCAGTGAATGAACAGAACCAAAGAGTCCTAATCCACCGGTCAATGTGGACCATCCAGAATAAATCTGTGGGTTGTTTAAGATTAGTGCTGCTTATATACAGAGGATGGCTTCCTTCATACTGAGAGGTTTAAGGACCGTTGTTATGAAATGTGGACAGATTTTATCTAAAATAATCCGCTGGATTTTCTCTTTTAAAAAGAACCAAAACAGGAAAATGTATTTATTCTTCTATTATGCAAAGAAAATGGAGGCTGGGATGTTTTAACGCTCATCAGATATAAAGTTTGTGCTGTGGTGCAACTTCTTTACTTTTGTTTTTTTTATCCTGTATCCAGCTCAGAAACAGAAAGGTGCAAAGAAAAAAATTGTTTCGCTTCATTTACATTTTTGCTCAGGTTGGTTATATGAAGCGACAGCTGAAATTTTAGCTCAATTTAGTGTATATCATTGGATTCATGATAGCAGGTTTTCTGCTTTTTGGCATCGGCGGGTTCCTATGTTATCGGCTTTTGAGGAAGACATCGGCAGCAGTTTCGGCCATGGCAAAACTGCCAAGTCTGTGTGAAAGTTTGGTTCGTGCTACGAGTACTCAAAATCAGCTGATTTATGAGCAAAACCGTAAGATGGACGTGATTTATGAGAATTACAGACCACCTGCAGCTTCTAGGACTCACCAGCATGTTGGAAATGACCTTTAAGGAGGCTCATAGCACGGATCAGTGGAATGCCCACAAATCTGGCCATTTTGGATCTTGAAAGTACCAGCAGGAATCAAGGTTGACAAGAAAAAACAGTCTGCCTGAAGAAAATTAACAATTGTGGCTTTTCTGAATCTGACTCCCCCGCTTGGCCTTGAAAGCAGGCCGACTGTCAAATTTTTCCTTGGACTACAGCTGACTAACATCTTATCAGGACTATGGCCTATCTGGAAGTGCTTCATGGACAAATCTCACCATCTTGACGTCAAATGTATATGTAACGTGTTTATAAATGTGCTTGCTGGTAGAGTTTTTTGATGTCTTAAATGGTGTCCTGATAGGACAAGATGTGAAGAAAACTTTTTTTTGTAATACCACTATCCATCCTCATGACCTTTTACCTTTTTCTATCTAAAACGTATTCTGATAAAGGATAAGAGGCTGCGCTCATTTAGCAGCAGCAACGTGCTCTCCGCCCATCTTTCGGACGACTGTACGAACATAATCTCACTGTATCTCAGTACAATGATAATAAAGCTTATTCTGATTGACGTTTTTCTAATTCACTGAGGTTCAGCCATCTTTGTGTGGGCTTAGGTGGAATAGCTGTGGCAGCCATCTTAATCTGGGTTGACTCCAATCAGTTACCACTTTCTGGGAGTATGATTCAAATCCAACCAGTGTTTCATTGAATGTTTTGCTAACAGTACGAACAAACAAATGCTTGCACACACATAAACATGGGCAAAAACATTGTCATTTTGCTTTCACCAGTTGAGGATAACTTAACTTTAATAAATAAAACTAATATATCATGAATAGACTCTGGATAAATAAAAGCATGTCATTGTCCAAACCTTCCTGCTTCATGGTTTAAAGTATAATCATAATTTGCATCAATGCCACATTTCATCACTAAACTAGAATGAGGTGACAACGCGTGTACCATGAACAGGCTCTGGTTAATGTGCAGATCGTTGTCGTAGAAGCGTCCCCGGTGCTCTGTCAGCTCTGTGGACACCACCCAGGTTTGCTGTTCTTTCCTATTGGACAAGGCCAGAGCTGGACCCCCCAGATGGCTGTGAAGGGCCACACTGACAGAATAGAGACCCCTGGGAAGTTTGTCTCTTGTGGCTCTCAGGCAGCACACACACACCTCTGCAGGCTGAGGGAGGCTCCCCTGGTTCTGTGAAACACAAAGTGCACTGACGACGTTTTGGTTGTTCTTTCCATGGAGGCTTAACATCCTACACTGGCGTAAACCATATTCTTCTTTTACAGATTTTTATAAAAATGCATACAACTAAATGTATTGAGCACTAATTCATTCGTAACCAAGTGTGCACATTTATTAGCCTATCAGTTAAATTGCCTGCGTGCTATTTTATAACACTGTACTGAACATTGATTGTTTTCTTCAGTTAGTCACAATTTACTACTCAAATAAGTTATTTATTCATACAACTGTAAACTCTGATGTTCAACATATTTGTCTAATAGATATGTTGCCACTACTGTTACCATGCTCTCTCATGCTCCACCCAGGACCTGATATCCTGCTACCACAATGATAAACGGCCACAACCTCTACTATGGAGTTTGTGTGTGAAAACTCAAGTCTGGTCGTCCTCAAGGGCTACCATCCTGCATGTTTTAGAGGTTTCTCTGCTCCAACACATCTGATATGAACCAATGGGTGATTATTAGACTTTACCAGAGCGTGAAGAGGTCATTCAACCGTTGTATCAGGTATGTTGGAGCAGAGAAACAAGTAAAACAAACAGAATAGAGGACCTGGATTAGGCACCCCTGCTCAAAACAACCATAACTTTCTATTGTACATAATTGGGAGCCCACTTCATCCTTAATACACACATGAAAACCTCACAAAGACCATGCATGCTCTGGATAATGTTTTTGTGCCCTAGTGTCATCATGCAGTGTGAAGGGGTCTTAGTCCTAACCTTACATTTTGCATGTTCGAACCAAAGGAAGAGTGAAGGTGTAGGGATTTCTGTCTCTTCAAAACTGAAAAGTTTGAGAGATGCACTTTACATGAAGCTTCACTTGCAAATGCACTCTCAAATGTAAGTACTGTCTCGTTTAAAAATACTAGCATAAAAGCCAGGGTATAGTATCATTAGTTGCATTTATTGTATAGCGTCTGGTACAGTCAATTATCCTTAACGAGCATAAAATCTGTGAAAATGTAGTTATTTTTCTCTGTTTATTCAAAATAACTTATTGTCCACCACCAGTTTCACAGCTCAGATATTGACATTGACATAAAGTACATATGGGACAACAAACGATGTGTCAACTTCTTAAAGTGAAATATTTTAACCACTACTCTTTATGACCAGATAGGGGTAGGGATGACATTAGGACTCAGCCAGTGATCTTTATTTTACTGTATCTCCTATATATTTTATTTTATATGTTTGAATTTACCTTATGTTAACCAGCTCCATGCAGACAAATGTATTTATTTCGGTTGAGTACAACGCTCAGTCTCAGCCAGTGAGCCCTGTGACTATACGTACACCCTTTTTCACTGCATTCTAAAATTGTCTATTATTGTCTTCAACTATGATTATTCAAACCCTTTACACAGAAACACAACGCGCACATTCATCTTGCAAAGACAGTGGAGTGGGAAGTGTTGCACCCTGCAGCAATACCCCTCGATCTCCCTACTGCGAACACTTTTGGATACCAAAACAACCAAAACATTATAGGTAGAAGTGAAATTAGTATAATTGGTGGCAAAGCGGTTTATCCCACATGTCTCACGTTTAGGAGGAGGCCTCAAAGCTCCCACACTGGAAAACAATGGGAGTCAAAGGGAGAATAAAGATGCAAGGAGATAAAATTAAAACATTTCGCTAATGCGTCTAATTTGCAATGTGTACGACTTTTGGAATTATTGTTTTTATCTGGCACAAGTGCGTGCACAAGCTTCATGGAGGCAGTGAGGACAGCAAGACGAAGGTAAAAGGTGAAGGGAGCCAATTTTCCATATCAGAGGTGGTTTGTTTGCCCCAAGCCTGAGTTGTGCCTAAAGTGCCATAACATTACAGCACTCCTACAGATGAGATCAAAGACTCCAGTGAGGGATCCTCCGTGGTTTTGCTGGCAAGCGGCCGTCCTTTCACTGAAGCATCTTTTCAGGGCTTTCCACACATTGACTGATCACACAAAATGCACTCTTAATAGAGACAGGAAATGCCACGTACAAAAACTTCCTTTCTTTCTAAGTACAAGCTAATATTCAGAGATTAAGCTTTCGTGTTAATTATTTTCATTTTAATTAGTAAATCTTAACTAACAATGAACATTTACCCTTAAATTTTTTTTTTTTTTTTTTTGGCTTCAGAACCAAGGAGGGGGTGAAGAAAAGAGAGAATAAATATGACAATCTTTTTGGGACCTCCAGGCAGGATTACTGATGCAGGCTGCCTTAGTTATTAAACACGTTCTAAATTAAATGCCTCCATGAATTTTGCACAGAAATATATTTTCATAGTTTTGCATGCCAAATGTGACATTTTATATTTCAGATTCATCTCGCTGCAGTAATTTTCAGGAAATGTCATACAAACAAAGATTTTGTCAATTACCAAAAGAAATTACTATGCGTGGTAGGTTTGGCCATTGCTTCTCTCTTTCTGTCTTTTTCTTCTTCCCTCTCCCTGCGTTGCCCCCTATTCTGCCTGTGCTAGTTGTTTCAAGTCAGCAAGCCATAAAAAATCTTTATCTCAGTGAAACACAGCAATTTGGGAGATAATCGAATGGTGACTGGGGGGCACAAACGCCAGTCTGAGGAATTATACCACAATCTCCCCTGCATTTACAACCTTCCTCAAAGCCAGTTGTCACCCTGGAAGGAAAGCCCCCGACTGAAGATTCATTACATCTTTAAGCCAGCACGGTGGCACGGCAGACTCATCCCCAGATGCAACACAACAGCGCACTCCTCCCACAGCTGGTGATGCTACGGCTAAAACTGCACTTCTGCTCCCCTCACTTCTTCCGTTTTCCTCTTTTGTCTTATGTCCATCGTTTAAGGCTCTGTTTTCCACCTCCTTACGTATATTCCTTAAACTGAAGACGCCGCTCACTCACACACAGTCGGAGCATATTGTTGCACGAAAATAATACGGCTGCATAGTGCTAGTGTGTGCCTCTGTAAAGATGTATGCAAATGAAATAAAATACAAGAAAATAACAGTATTTAATTTTCCATTCCCTCACAAGTCTCATTCCTTACAGGATTTCACTTAGTTGCATCATTGGGCTGTATTTTTTTTTTTTAGCAAACAAAACTTGTCTTTTTAATAATTTATAAACAACTCAGGATCAATAGCTTCTCTTAAAGATCGCAGATCGAGTCACTTCCTCTGCGTTTATGCGTTTCCTGTTTCCTGTTTGTTTCTCAGTCCACCGTCATTGCAGCTTACCTGCCGTGACGCTGAAGTGAAGCATTCTGGGAGTTCTGTCATCTGGCTTATTTTGGCCATCGCTTCCTCTTGACCTTCCCCAAGCGCTCTGAATGACTTAGCATCCATGGTTTTGCTGCAAGTATTGGACAAAAAAAAATTCAGCCTCTTCGAATGTTATCAGTTCATTAAATGTCCGTTATCAGTTGTTATCATCCCCATAGGCATGGGCGGCTGTGGCTGAGTGGTTAGAGCAGTAGTCCTCCAATGCGAGAGTTGGGGGTTCAATTCCACCAGCAGTCTCATGCCAAAGTGTCCCATCAGTGTATGAATGTGCTAAAGCACTGATTTGTCTTTGTAGAAATATAGTAGAGTGCTGTATGGGGTAAATGAGGCACAGATTGTTGTAAAGTGCTTTGAGTATCTTGATAAGATAGAAAGGTGCTATATAAGTAAAGTCCATAGGTTGTGTTCAGACTGTTCCTCCTCTGCCTCCTAGTAGGTTTAAAGGTACGTTCTTATCACTGATAATATGGAGCTTTGCGCGCATGTAAAAGCAGAAGCTTTTTTGTTGTTAGCTTTATTTAAAACCTTTATTTATAATTTACCTACTACTTTTAAGCTGGACATGAAGGATTTACTTGAAATGAATTCCAGATTTAACAGTCATGTTGAACTCGGTATCTAAAAAGAACTCACGTAAGAGAGGATATGAGGGTTTGTTGTTTTTTGTTTTGTTTGATATGAGCGAAATTCTGATCAATTCATACATTACAGCAATATGTAAAGTACTATAATTATGCTCAGATGTAACCCTTAACTTGAACCTTATAAATCTGTGATAACCTACTGAGCCTGCTAGGAGGTAGAGGAGGGACAGTCTGAAGGATAACAACCGATAACGTCCATTTAATAGGTGATAACGTTCGAAGCGGGTGAAAACATTTTAACTTGTAAGTCTCTGTTCAAGTAGTTTACCAAAATGTTGAAATAATGCAATCCTAGTTCACACTGTAGTTGCAACATTGTGGATAAAAATGCCGCCTGTTAACAAGGACGTGCATTAAAGATGCATGTGCTTGCCGTATAAACACTTAGACGACATGCACAAAGCGAGAGCGGCTAACCGTGTTAACCGCCACCTGCATTTTGGCCCCTCTGTTCCACTCTGAAGCCAACAGGAGCTCAATCTAATAACACCGCACACACAAAACACTTTCCATTGTGTCTCTCTGTCTCGGTGTCTCTCTGCGCCTTTCCTCGGTGTCGTTCTCTTCCTGCCTTTCAATCTTATCAGTGGTAATGTAATAAGCGGTTGCTTCACTCTGTCTCCTCGCCACCTCTCTTAATTCCTCAAAATAAAGCAATATCACAGGGGCCCTGGCCTGCCTGGGTCTGGGGATAAGATGCTTGTTAAAGGAAGGATAATTCAGCAAATAAATGCACCGCATCAAAGGCAGCCACTGGATCTTTCTTTCTTTTCGCTCCCTCCCCTCTGTTTGCCTATCAAAAGTATTACATGTGCTTTCATCAGTTCACAACGAGGCACAATGTGCTTCCTAATGCAATTACTCAACCCCCATTAAATCAGAAGCTGTGGTAACAAATGAATTACACATTTGCTACCAAAACCACAAGTCAGCTCTGTGTGTCTCCTTTTATTTTATTGTATTTATTTATTTATTTTTGTTCATAGGCATGGGGAAAAGTGAAATCATTTCTCATTCAATTTCAGGCAGATGTAGCCCTGGGTGATGCAAAGAAAGTCTCCCATGTCTAATAGCCACCCACTATTGATATCAGAAAGAATTTACAGGGTTCAAAGCTGTCAGAGGAGGTCATCTCGCTAAACTCTGAACCACATTCATCTGACAGGGCTGGTGTCCGACTCTCACCCACCCATAACGAAGCCCGGCTCGACGTAAAATGCTGATGTATACAGTGGTTTCCTGATTTTATCGTGTCAGCCAGCGTGGAAGTCCATAATTACTAAAAACTTAAACATGCTAAGCTGATTGCCCGCGGGGTTCTCGCCACAAGATGTGATGTCTGACTAAAGTGGATGGAGCAAGAATTGATGCACCTCCAAGCCCAATGACACAGACAGGTTTCTGTGCCCTACAGCCATATTACCCACAATGCAACGCCCGCTGACAAGAGAAGCCTTGCAGAGGACATATGAATTTCGAATGTCAGTGGGAATATGAATGGTTTTTCACACAATTAATAATTACAACCTAGTGACATCAATTTTAAAAATGCAAAGAAGTAAAAATGGAGCTGTATTTACCCCTGAAACAGCGTGTTCAGCCTCGGGTGTTGCCTTATTGTGTCCTCACAGCCTCCCTGTAAACTGGGCTTCTATGGGAAAAATATATCAAGTTTAAAAAAAAAAAAAAAAAAGTTAAAGTTTTAATTTCTCATTGTCTTTTCTGAAGGCTTAATTCTAAATGTAAATATTGTAACATGTGAATCAAGTTTTTTTTCTTTTAAATTGGTATCTTTAAAGCTTCAAAATTAAACATTTTTCATGTTAAATAACAAGTTGATTGTTTTAGTTCAACATAGATAGCCTAAAAAAAACATTTAGTTACAGTAAAAACAAAAAAAACTGAGAAAACAAACTTTGTGATTTAGTTACAGTGTTAATGACTTAAACTGATAGATCCGATCTTTTCAAGTCCAGTTCTGTACAATGATTATGAACAATTAATATCTTACCTGTTGTAGGTAGCTCTTTAAACAACCTCGGTATTAAGAGTTTAACTCCAGCCAGATAAACTAATGACTAATCTGAGCAGAGCCAAGATGAGAATGCAATCTGTAGATCTTTACATCATCAGCATAAAGTTCACACATTACAGATATTCCAGCAGAAATATTTAGACATTCCTGTCAGTGATGCTGGATTTTGAACGAAGAACCAGATCTAGAAAACAAGCCCACATGAAGCGACTCGCCATACCTGCTGCCTCCCAATCAAGAACAGAGACCACTTTATACTTTATACTTTATATGAATCATTTAGTGAATTTAGCATTTAATGCTAAATCTTTTTAAGGCTTGCTGTTATTTTTACTTTTATTTGTAGATCTGGGAACATGGTTTCCTTCACCCATTTGTCAATCAGTTTAGTTTGGCGGTGCAATTATTTCCCAACTCAACCATCAAAAGCAATAAGTACTAACCAGTCAGAGGCAGTTTAGTGGACATGACAAACATGAGTAAACCTAAATAAGCAATTACACTTTCACAATGAAACACAAAGATAATATGTTTTCAAGAAGATTTTGGGAAAAGCAAGCCCAAAGTTGCAGTGATGATGGTATTTGCACTTGTACATTTGCATAAAAATCTATATAATAAGCCAGTAATGATAAAATGTTTGTAACTTTTCACAGAACTCTATTTGAAAAAGAATTACCTGGAGTGAAAGCCATAAATAAAAATGTTGCACTTGAGTTTTTATCCTGTTTAGCGGGTCTTACCCTATCGTTGCCCCTGAAGAAGGCCATTAGTCTTTCCTTCCCGCTTGCCCACTCTCTCCTTTTCTGGGTTCCCTTCTGAGCAAGTTGCTAAAAATACATGCAAACACAAATGCACACTTTCTACGGATGCCACTTCGTGAAACAGTACAGTGCACCATAATAGCAGAATTAGGCACGGGGAGTAACTGTAATGCAATCTCCAGGCAAATCAATACCAAGCCAGACCCTAAAGACATGTAGCATTTGATGGGTATTTCTGCCAGTTTTACATTCAGTCAGCACATTCACGTCCCCCATTTAAACTCATTGATGCTGCTAAGTGACAGTGTGTTCCTGCCTTTGTGTTGCAGAATAGAAAAAGCCATAATTTTTTAAATAGATGGGAAATCTCTGGTGGATAATGTACTTTCATCCAGAGGTGGGTGTGGAAACACAACGTATATACATTATATTAGAAGATAACACTGATCCCAGCACAGAGAAGTATATTCTACTGATTATCCAGTTATGAGAAGATGAGTCAACTGTTGCAGTGACTTCCAAGTAACATTGGAATACTGTCGTGCATTTTCTTCCATATTGCATGTGATCTCTATTCATGTTTTTTTTTTCCAAATCAGATTATAGCTAAAAATACAGTGAATAGCACTTCTGCTTCCTGTTTACATATGCAATGATGCCTGTGATTCCTTGCTATCTAAATTTCCCAAGACAATGGAAACTCAGTGCTTCCAAAGCGCTCCCATTTCTCTTCAGACTGGGAGAATACAAACATATAAACACTTCATTTTCTTTCAGCCAAGCATCTTAAAGCTAGTTTGCAAAATTTCTATTCCTCTGATGGAAAATAATATGTCGTCATGCTCTATTTTCCTTTGAAAGGACCATAAAAGTGGTAAAGAACCAAGGAAATTCAGCTTCTGTCAGAGACAAATATGCATAATAATAGACAACAAAGTTAAAAGGCAGAATAAAACAGTCTGCAGATAAATTAATTGTGCGGGAACATTGAATGTGGCACAGAAGAGAGTTGAAATCCATGATGAATAAGTAATCTAACCTCTGAAATACCTTGAATCCACGTTGAACAAAAAGACATTTCACAGCTGAGATTTATACCATCTTCCATGTAAATGACTGCAATTTTATTTAGAGCTTATAGAGCGAGAAAGAATAGAAACCCCAACATGAAACAAACCAAAGAACAAAAGTATGTCACACAAACTGACGTCTGAACAGACAAAAACAGACAAATGTGCGTGCGCACACTCCGTGTCCATTAGCCAGAGCACTGATACACAGCATAATGGACAAGGCTGATGTGCTGGTGAATATGGGATGATGACACAGATATTCCTCTTTGTAGCCCTGACCTGCTGCAGTGAAAGGCTGCCAAGCGTGATCATGTCAGGCCGCACGCGCTCCCTCAGCTGCTGGGCGTAGCAGGGGATCACTTCCTCAGCTGTTCGCGCTGCAAGAAATAGCTCATGGCAGCAAAAACCTTGTAACATTTACCTACACTGGAATATTACCGCAGTACTTTGTATCGACTATTTGGCCTTTTAGCTTGTCTTGTAAAATAAAACATAAATAAATAAAAAAAAGTTGTGTTAAATTATCTTTGTGAAACAAAAAAGTAATTATATTAATGGTAGACTAGCACAAGAAATCAATCAAAGAAGCAAATTAAAGGATAGGTGTACTTTTTACAGTGCCCTCTCGGCCCATTACTGTCCTCCCTGTTTGGAGTCCGGACTCTCCTTCCAGCCAAACAATCCCCTCAGCCTGGGTTTTGGCGGTGGTTTGGGTCTGGGAGGGCCCAGAGCCCGAGGCTTCACCACCACTGTGGAGCAGCGGTCGCCGCTGAAGCACCAGATCACCCGCCTTCACCTCCAACACCTCCTCATCCCTGGAGGCTCGCAGTGTACCTGGAAAGATACGCATCAGTGAGTATGCACACACACACGCGCGTGCACGTCAGCACGTGCACTCACACGCTGATAGATGAGCATACTTGAAAAAAATGCACAGAAATGTGTATTTTTGTTAAGACAGAAATACAAAAATGCCAACTCAAATAAACAGACATGTGAAATGCACGATCTTGGACCTACGAGAGGCAGAATTAGAGTTCTTCTAACAATGGTCACTTATAAAAATGTATCAGTCAAGTCCATAATTACAGAAATATTAGTTTTATACTTTAGCTCAAATATAGATTAGACTGTAAAGTGTCGAGCAAATAATGGAATATGAAATTTAAGCCATAGAAAATCTCAGGACTGACTACAGAGGACATTAGAGTAAAACTCCTTTACGTCTGTTTAAGCTGATGGTGAAAATCTCATTAAAGAAAATGTAATTGTTTATATATTTTCTTTATATATATCTGTCTATAACCATTCTTTACCTGTGTATATCTATATTGCATTGTTTTTTTTGTTTTTTTTAGGTATGTTTTTAAGCGTGTTTGCACTGAAAAAGGAGTGGCTCTATAATAATAATAATTATTATATTTGAAAAGCAATTATTATATAGATAAAATAAATATTCACAGACTGTAGCTCCAACAGACATGTATCTGAAAGTCTGAGTTGTGGTAGCTCTCAGGACTGATAGAGTGAAACTCCTTTGTGTGTTTTCATATTTATTATTTCTCTCGTCATGGAGAAAAGTTGCTCACAACGATGAGCACATAATTCAGCAGCTTTCATGATTGACTCTTCCTCTCAGCACGTAGCTGCAGAGGCAACATGGCAATGAAGGAGTGAGCAGTTTAAACTGCTGCCACACAAACAGATTAAAGTGGTGGAGATATCTTATATCTTGGGTTCACCAAGCAAACTCCTGAAACAAGACAGTTTTTATTTTGATAAAAAATCCTGTAACTTTTTAATCTTGCAAGATCTCGTGCCTTGAGAAAAATAACTTCCCTCTTTTGTACAATTTTTCTACATAAAATACGTCTTTGTGTAATTTCTATACTTAAAGAATTATCTATATCTTGTTTGCGCCGTGGGTTTAAAGTGTTAGTGTTGACTGTTTTGTAAAAAGTATTCTTTTAAGTGTGCACTCCATCATATATACAAGCCAAAGTTGCGTATTTTATACTCTATTTTTTATAATTTCTATTTTATAATTCCTGATTAAGGATTCAAGGATTCAAGGTTCTTTATTACATGTGGTGGAACGAAATTGTGTACACAGGGTCTCAGTTACATCCAACACAAGTATAAAATGTTAAAGAAAAACAGTAATAAGAACTAATACATGAATTAAAAAAAAATGTTAACTAGAAATACGCTAAGCACTAGTAGGGCAAGTGATGCAGAGACAGGAAGTAAAAAAAATAAAAGCTTCCCCACCAAAGTAAATTCATATACCAGGAAAAGAAAAGTACATGGACAATAAAATTTAAAAAAGGATTTGGGATGAAATATAAACTAACATATACAAAGTACACACACCTGTTACATCCACCCCTTCTATATTTCACCAAAATCCAAGTCAGTCAGATCAATTGTACAAACCCAATACTTAAAAAAAACTGGCACATTTGGAGAAAATTTGGCACATGGTTGCCTTACCCAAGTACAGCCTTCAGCTTGAGAGCCACCTGCAAAGCAGGTTCAAAAAACATAAGTTTGCTCAGACCTCTGCCCTGCTCAGATCAATACGATGCCATTTACACCATACAACCTGTGCCACTTTCAAACCTATGAACACAAGATGTCTATATAAAAATATATATATAATAACGTCATATTAATTGCAGAAAACCAAAACAAATACTGCCAGAGGCAATGCTAAGAGATCTGGAGCTGACAGAATAGATTTCTCCTGAGTAGTTGTTTAAGGAATAGAAACATTAATCTACAGAACTGGTTCTTGTTTGTCCTTGTTGTGAAGTATACGAATCTTTGTGGCGTGGTGTAAAATCATAAACCACAGTCTGAGAAGCAGATGCTCAACATCAGCATCCGTTCTGACGTACAGCAATCCTGCTCTGTGCAGCCTGTACCGGTGGGAGGCAACCGTGTAACTACACAAGGTAATTGTTTTGAAGTCTATTGTATCTTAGTGAAGTGCTAACTGGCAGTAGCACTCTAGAACAAGGGGTACAGGCGCTCTCCCTCTCTTTTCCAGTCACACTTGCCGTCACTGTCTCTCAGCCTATTGCGTGGAATTGTTAATCCGAGATCCTCTTTCCATTCACTGTGGGATTTTATGAACATTCCAAGACAATGAATAGGGCCACTAATCTCAGTAGTACAGCTAAATCCAAAACAATGGCAAATAATGCAAGCCTGCTCAGTTCTACCGTGTTGTAGCGGGCCTAAACCCATCACTTGGGCTCTGGAATTACAAGGGAGGTGTGCATCATGTCAACAGGATCTGGTACGACTGTCTTCACCAAGAACAATGCTAAGCTTTATCCGTCTCAGCGTTGCCTCCATGTGTTGGGATGAAACTGAGCTAATGAGAAAAAGCACGCCTACTGTGAGACAATAGCTGTGCTTGGAAAACGGTAGTGAGGGTCCATTTCTGGTTGGTTCATTGTTCCACGACAGCGCTGCTTATAGTGTTGCATCTCATCTTTGTCTGACTTTTAGTGTGGTATCAAATTTGTTTAGTTTAAGTATATTTACTGCCTACAGCTGAAGGTGATGGCAGACATTTTCCCCCACGTTTGTGTGTCCATGTGTCTGTCTTTTACCAAAACATCAGATGAACCAATGGATAAATCAAAATGAAACAGGCAAAAACTGATCATTGGATGAACAGCTACTACTCATCTCTGATACTGATAAACGTATTAATGTTTAGAGTCAACGTGATTCAAAATGGCTGCCACAATCAACTGAGTCTAAAAGGCACAGAAAAGCCTATGAGGACCAACACTATACAAAAATGCCATTAAAGCCAGGTGACAAAAATATTGGCTATAATTTAGTCAATTCTACAAATGTGCTCAAATTTAGTGTTGGATGCAACTCATTGTGGTAGATTTTTGTTTCCAACTTTAGTATCAATAGTTGGGCTGAACCTTGTTAGCCTTTTTAGCAAAATATGTCATAAACCAGTGGATGAATGTTAACGAAACCTTCAGAAATCCATGAGTGTACATCTACAACTTAATACCTTTTGGAGTCCGATGCTATGAGTCAACATTTGTTGGACATTTTTTTCTACTCTTACCAGCTTTCAATGTATTATGAATAGATCTGAACAAGAAAACACATTATTTCAATCAAATTTTGATCACACAGAGAATAATAAATAAAAACTGAACAGAGTTACACGGTCAAGCAACCAACGGGGTACATACCAGGTATGTCTACAAACGTATCATCTTCATCCAGCAACGCAGCCATTTTCTCAAACAATTGATTCTCATCTGCATTCAATATTCCTAAAAAGTAAAAGTGAGTATATGAACTTTTAATATACAGTACATGTCTGGGATTCAAAATGCCTTTCAACCTATCGTGCAAGTCAATCTCAAGCACATCTTAGCACGCAAACGTGAGATGCTAGCTGTAGTGGAGGATGGTGAAAATAGAGTGGAGGCAGATGGAGGAATGAAATAGGAGCATTATCATGCCTGTTAGCCGGCCTGTCATCATGTGATGAGATTTGATTTGGTGAATCCTTTGATATTACAAGGCAGTGATATCCAAAAGATACAGGTGAAAATGGCTTCTCCATTAATAGCTAGGTTTCATTATAACATGTATATTACTTGGCTCCCAAGAGCTTGATTTTAATGGGCCTACTTTAGGAGGGGTCTTGAAAACTATTGATATGGCTCGATGTGTGCCTTCTGACTAGGGAGAGGAAATGTTATGGTGAAATGAAAACTGACCAACGATACATGACCTTCGTCAATGACAACGAGTTGGGTGGCCAATCTAGGAGTGCCATCGCTTGGTGTATTTACATAGAATGTCTCGCCATCACAAATGGCAGCCCGCTACTGGTGATCTCCCTCACCCCTCTTTAATGAACCGAGGAGAACCATTATGACAGAGAATGGCGTACTTAATTCCAGCTCATCTTCAGCGCTGACCCCAGCCATCCCACATTGCCTTGGGTCTGTCTGCTCCGCCGACAACGGGTCAAAGTAATTTTGGGCACGTTCATTTCCTTTGGAAAGAGAGAGAGAAAGGTGATTGGGTGATGAAGGGTTGGGAGATGGAGAGGAGAAGATGGGTTTGGGAAGAGAAGGAGGGGAGTTGTACGGGTTTAGGTTAGTGGTTATTAGAAGCACATGAAGCGCAATTTTAATTTTGAAACTCACACCGTCGAAGGGCAGTGGCGGCAGCGGCAGGTACAAGATAAGTCAAGATGAGACAGAAGTTCAGAGATGGAGAGAGAACAAGAGAAGTGGGGGGAAAAAAGACTGCTGGGCTTCCCAGAGCACCTCTCTATGGCCTGCAGTGCTCTGGGGCCTAATTAGCATGCCGCAAAAGGTCAAGGCATGCAATCTCTTAAATACGACTGCCATATGTTTGCAATGTTCAAAAGGAACTAATGAGAAAGTCTACAAGCCTGGAAGTACCTGGAATTTCAAAGACAATACTTTCTAAATACTCTGAGGTCAGCAGCCTGGAGGACCAGGCAAGTTTGGAGGAGCAGATCCAAAGGAAAATAACCTCTTAGCTCATGTCTCATTGACTTCTTATTAGCAATCACTGACCTATGGGTATCAAGTCTGCTCCACACAGTTTATGGGAATCAAATGACTTCAGGGCCCTTTCTATTAAGAGTACACACCAGCAAGCAGCTTTCTTAACCCCAAATCATTCTCATTACAAGCCTTGAATATTTCACTCCGATCTAAATTGCTTTACTTGCATTTCTCAGGGTGTATGCGGAAAAAAAAAATACACGGTGCATTAAATCATGTTATATATTGCACACAAGGACTGCCTTTATAGGAGTCTGAGGGTGTCGGGGCTCGGATGTTTGAAAATCTGGGACAGCGTGTTTGGATAGGAGCACCGCTGCCCAAAAAGTTCACAGGGATTTATTTTTTTAAAATGAAATATGAAATATGTGCATGATGTTTTCACACCCTGTCCATGCTGAAAGTTAAACACTCTGGCTGAAATAGTTATTAACTGAGAGGCAGCCGTATGACTCTTCAATGGCACCATAAATTGACTGTGAAATTCACATGTTAAATCCCTCTACACTGTTCGCAGCGAGTTTGAACAATTTCTCCGCAAATAGCTCTGAGGTTATGAAACCCTTTTTTCAAATACAAATTTGCATAATGGTAGCAGCTTCGTGAATCGCCTTTTGAGTCATAGCTGTGATTTACCTAAATAGTCTGGCTGCCCTCCAATTCATCCCTCTAATGAAAATTTCAATTATCTGTTCTTACATGCACAATATCCGTTTTTCTTGCCAGCCAGATATACTGTTAAGTGAGACTCATAGATAATGACATTTTTTTGGAAATGTCAAAAACAAGGAACGACCTGAGAGCAGTTTTTGGATCCATCAGTATTGGTTTTAGAAATAACTAAACCGATAATAAAGTGTTATATTAAAACTACTATGGCTGTTTCATAAGTGAGAGCAAGATATTTTTAACATATACATTTAAATCTTTCCCAAGCATTTGAATTAATTTTGTTGTATTGTTTTAAAGGGTGAATATAGCTTCTTTTTATCATAATCCCTAAAAGCCTACAAATCTGAAATTACCTGCCACTGTGTGACTTTATAGAATAAAGCATACATTTGCATTAACATTATCTAATACGTCCTGTGTTATATGATTGCCATAACATTTTGACTTTTTGAACATTACCACTAAAAAACTAAAATTTAAACAATTGTAAATTATCAGTACAAAGATTTTGTCAAAATAGCAAACACATTTCCGTTCCTGTTCAAGTGGATTTCACAAGAAAGTATCAAATCAGTGAAACATCCACATTTTATTTCTTATTGTTTCATGTTCATTGTGACAGTTAAGTTAAGCAAAATGTGAAAATCAAATGTTTGCACACGACATAAACCAGTGGTTTATAACCTGCGGCTCTGGAGCCACATTTGGTCCGTCTGCATTGTTCTCTGTAGATTTGAGCAAAAGTAACAGAAAACAAATTAAAAATATAACATTTATAGGAAAACAAGAGAAATTTAAGGCATGTTATTCTGATAACACCAAGAATTTGAAGCAACAAAATAAAAATGTTGAATAAAATTTGAAGCAAATGAAAATGTCTACCTTAAAATAAAGAAATAAATCAAATCAGAATTAAAACATTGACATATTTATTTTTACTTTTGCTTTAACTTTATGCTTTCTTATGTCAAAGTGGGATGCTTATATTCGTTTCCCATATATATATATATATATATATATATATATATATATATAT